CTGCCTCCACAGCTAAGTGTAAAGGCTCTAGTCCCAGAAGTGCCTCCATGGCCAAGGTTGGCGTGGTTTTTAGGGCTCCATTGACTCCCAGACAGGCGAGTCGCTGGACCTTTCCTAGCTGCTCTCCTTCTATTCGTGAAGTACTAGTACCAGGCACCACAGCAGTGGAGACAATATCCCACCCTGCGGACATCCTCTAGTAACCGATGAGCTCATCTCCGTCATTCCAATTGAGGATATAATGATTCTGCTTTCGAGCATGGCTCGGATCCATCTTACGATCGACCCATCAATACCAAATCTCTCAGCAGCCTCACTAATCGAATCGAACGTGGTGTTGTTAAACGCACCTTCGATATCTAAAAACGCTCCCAGAGCTATCCTCCCGGAAGACATTCCCTTTTCCAGCCTGCAGACCAGGCTGTGTAGAGCCGTCTCCGTGGACATACCAGCCCTGTAAGCATGTTGGAACGGATGTAGTGGTCTTCTAACCAGTACGCCATTCCTTATGTATGCATCCACCAGCTTCTCCACCGTTTTTAGAAGAAACGATGATAGGCTGATGGGCCTATAGTCCTTCGCCACGTCATATTTAGCACGACCCGGCTTAGGTAGGTACACAACTCTTACCTTCCTCCAGCTTTCGGGGATATACCCTAAAGCCAGAGAGGCTCTGAAGAGATGCAACAAGTGTAAGAGCAGCGGATCCAGGCCATTCTGTAGAAGAGCCGGGAATATCCCATCCGGTCCTGCACTCTTAAATGGGCTGAACGTGTTGACCGCCCATCTCAGAGATCCCTCGGTAACTACCCGGGAAGCTACCTTCCAGTTGATCGGCCTTACACCGACCCGAGTAGCTCCTTTTGGTGGGTCCGAAGTTAAGTAGTCCCCAGAGCCTGGAAAGTGTGTTTCCAGGAGACATGTGAGTGCCTCACCCGCGGTAGACGTATATCTACCGCATGGAAGCCTCAGTGTCCCCACCTTTTGCCCCGGGTCCTTCAAAAGGATTTTACGAAGTTTTTGAACTTCAGGAAGACCTTCCATGTTACCACAGAAAGTCCTCCAAGATCCTCGTTTCGACCTCCGAATATGGTCCTTATACCTGCGCTGGGAGATCTTAAGATCTTCCCAGTCCGCAGGTAACTTAGTTCGCATGGCCCTATTAAAGAGCCTGCGAACCTCCTTACGAGCCTTTTCAAGGTCTGAGTTCCACCAAGGTGTTCTCTTCTTTCCTCGAAAGGTACGCAGTTTACAGCTGTCCTCATAGGACGCTGTTATGGCGTCGCTTACTAATGCGGCCGCCTCTTCCACCTGCCCTGCTTTCCGACAGAGCAAAAGGTGGTCTATCCAACCGGTCTGACAGTTTTGCCACATAGCAGTCCCAGTCAGTGGATCGGGGATTCCGAAACCTGCAGGGCTCGCAGTGCAATGCCAGGTTCAGTTGGAAGAGAATGTGCCTGTGACACTCAGACACTCTCCAATTCGTGATCATATGAGCTATTGAAAAGGAGCCCAGCGTCAGATCAATGACCTCCTGCCTCCGCGCTGTGACGAAGGTAGGGGCTGCTCCCTGATTTAAAACATTCAAATCAGTTGTTTGCAAGTACTCCAGAAGGTGGTCGCCCCTCGAGTTCGTGTCCGTGCTGCCCCACACAACATGGTGTGCGTTTGCATCACAGCCAACCACAAGAGGGAGCCCATTACTTCGACAGTACTCTATCAACTCAGCCAGCTCCTTGGTTGGTGGGAAGTAGGTATAGATGTTCTTGATTATGTATGTACGCAGTAATCAATTGCGCGACTCACCAAATACAAGTTTAAGCTGGTCCTTTAAGGGTGATTACTTTTTTACAGTTGTGGTACCCAAACCAGGTAGCTACGGTTATATATATTTTTGGTGTAGCAGTAGATTAGGTTAAGCCCAGTCGCTTTCTAAATGCCCTAATAACAAAATCCAGAATTACCTAATGAATAATTTATTTGATTTGACTTACCCTTCAGAAGAAGAGGCTTTACACTACATTCGCCGGCTAACGGCCTTAGCGAATCAAATTCTCTTTTTTTATTCTTGACAAATATTTAATTGCAAATCTGCGCTGAGCGCTGGTCTTGTCAATACGACATTTAGCAGGCAAGTCCCTTATCTTTCAATGACATTCTATTTGGTATAAATTGGGAAAACCGTAAAACGTAGCAAGTGTAAGAATACATCCTGATTTGTATGCAACAAAATATACGTTTTATTGCATATAAATCTCGCTGTTTCTTAAAAAATTAACTTAAATTAAGTAGCAATACACTGAAATGCTACACTTTCCTAATAAATCTAAATGTGTTAAGTTTGTGTAACCGATTCTTATTCTTGATAACGCAACTTGTTCTCTTCTACTTCCGTAGATGACAAATTAACATACGGTAGAATTCTTACACTATGGTAGAGTTGAACCGCGAATGTTGACTTGACCATTTGTTATTTGTTTTATAATATATTTATATAAATTAATATAAGTATTAAACAATTGTGACAGTATATAATGAACGCTTGCAAGATCTGTGAGTTCCTCTTGAATTTCCATAAAATTGCGAATGTTAAAACAAAAGGTAATGCAACTATCTTTGAATACAGTAAGAAAAGAAAAGATGATAAATGGATGGAGAGTACATAACAAATATCACAATCATTTCTGCAAAGAGTAAGGCCTTGCATCAGGACCAGAGTGCTCAATCTTCCTCTTCATTTTCAATTACAATTCGATCCTCAGTGCCAAAATTTGATATTAAAGGCGACTGGCTATTTTGTGGAAAACAGTGTGTAAGAAATGAAAACACAAGGATAGAAAACATCATATATTAGGTGTATTGACACACTTCAAATAAAAGCTACAATTCATGCTCATTATGTATGGTCTTAGCAGATTTTACGTTGAATCGAATCCAGCATAGATGTGGTAGGATGGTAGCATCTGAAGCTCGTTACCATATGCACTGTTGCAAATAGTGAACATGCTTTTTCCGATTAAGCTTTCCAGCAGTTTGTCTTCGAGAATGCTGATTTTAATATACGAACACTCTATGGACATGGTACATTCCATTCAATGGACGGAATTTTGGAATGTCGCCCAAAGATGCAGTGATGACTGCCGGTAATGTTTTACGACCGAACTGTAAAACAACTGCATCTGAAATTGGGAAGTTTGGAACTATCCCCTACAGTAAATTGAAATTTGAATTTGAAAACATAGATATTCTTCTGACTAAAGCAAACTATGACTGCCAGTTTAAATGCGTTGTTACTTGCAGACGCTTTATGGAATCAGCTTCTTTTTTTAATTTTGAAAAATCATCTTCCAGGAGTGGCTACATGCAGAGCTGGGCAGAATACTTTAAAAAAGTATTTGAATACTAAATAGTAAATACTTTATACAAATCAAAGGTATTTAAATACTAAATACTTTTACGTCCAGCACAAGCGAATACTAGATACAGATACATTGAAAAGTATTCAAATACTTAAAAAAAATAAGTATTCAAATACTTTAGAACGTATTCGAATACTTTCAAAAGTATTCGAATACTTTCAAAGGTATTCGAATACTATAAAAAGTATTCAAATACTTGTCACTCAAATATATTAAAAATTTAAAAATAAAATTTCTTATAGAATGTGGCCTGTAGAATCCATAATTTCAAACAGTTCCAAGATTGGGCTACTAGTTCAAAAGTTACAGCCCTTTGAATTTTTTTTCGAAATTGGTTTTCTAGTCTATAACTTTTGATTGAGAAGTCTGATCGAAAAAGTACGAATTGTTTTGGATTCTACGCACCAAAATTAATAAGAAAAAG